CCTTGGACCCCTTCTCTTCTCTATCTACACCTCCTCTCTTGGTCAGTTGATCACCTCACATGGCTTCCAGTATCACCTCTATGCTGATGACACTCAAATGTACCTCTCCACTCCGCAACTCACCACGTCGGTCTCCTTATGTATCACTAACTTACTAACTGACATATCCGTCTGGATGTCACAACATTTCTTAAAGCTCAATCTATCAAAAACTGAGCTTATGGTATACCCCCCCACCCCCGTGCACCGTCCCCCAACTTTTCTATCATAATTGATAACACAGCCATCCAACCCTCACCCAATGCCAGGGTGCTGGGTGTCATCCTTGACATCCTTGACTCGGACCTCACCTTTCTTCCCCACATCCAATCACTATCCAAATCCTGTCGTCTTCACCTTTGTAACAGCTCCAAAATACACCCCTTCCTCACCAAGGAAACCGCAAAGCTGCTTATCCACTCCCTTGTTATCTCTCGTCTCGACTATTGTAACTCCCTCCTCATTGGCTTACCGCTACACAGGCTATCCCCTCTTCAATCTATCATGAATGCTGCTGCCAGACTTATCCACCTAACCAACCCCTCAGTGTCTGCAACCCCCCTCTGTCAATCCCTACACTGGCTTCCAATCGCCCAAAGGATAAAATTCAAAATATTAGCAACCACTTACAAAGCCATCCACAACTCTGCCCCCGGCTATATCTCAAACCTTGTCTCTAAGTATCACCCTAACCGTCCCCTCCGCTCCTCCAAAGACCTCTCCTGCTCCCTTGTCAACTCCTCCCATGCTCGCATCCAGGACTTCACTAGAGTCTCCCCCATTCTGTGGAACTCTTTACCCCAACCTGTCCGTCTATCTCCTACTCTGACTAACTTTAGGCGTTCCCTTAAGACTCATCTCTTCAGGGAAGCCTATCCGACCTCAACCTAACCACCGAAATATCAATTTCTCAAACAATTCATCCCCACACAGCTACCTCCTCGTGTATCACTTCCCCCTCCCTTTTAGATTGTAAGCCCTCAGGGGCAGGGCCCTCGTGTTGTCTTGAATTGTGTTGTAATTTTAATGTCTTTCTTATATTGTAAAGCGCTGCGCAAACTGTTGGCGCTATATAAATCCTGTATAATAATAATAATAATTAGGGAAAACCTGTCCAAAAAAATAGAGGACATCATCAAGATACCTGTGCAACGAGATAACCTGGCACATGTACATTGACAGGTCAGCCTAAGAAAAAAAGTTTTGTTCCCACCCCCAGGTATAGGGCAGCATAGAATAGGGCACAAGTAGTCCCTATCACCGAACCTTGCACCCGGAGTAGTAGGACTCTGCAAACCTAAATATTTTGTAAGTAATACAGTAATCATGCTGCCCAATGTTTTTTTCATTTAAAATGTTACCATCCTTATGCCTAGATTGAAGTTTATTTAATGAATGTGAAGTATCCCTTACATAGAACGTTTGGGTTTCTACTTGATTCTTGCAGAAATGGTCATTGTAAATACTAACATTTTCTGTAAGAGACCCATTGTCTGAAACAATTGCTTATCCCAGTGGATCAACCATATTTTTGTGCACCTTAGGACATAAATGTAGGGGTGACCGCAAAATTTACTTTCAAAAATGTACTCACTTCCGGGGAGATCATTTTTCTATCTTCAGCAAAATCAATCAACTGGAGCAATTCATTTGTGCTTCTCCCCAGTGCAAAGCTAGATACCTTTTTGTAACAATCAGTATATGACAGAATTTCCATACACATTTTCTGATAAAGAGCAGTGTCCATAATCACCACATTTCCACCCTTGTCAGCCTAAGTTCAAAGCTTCCTAATTTGTAGCATCTAGGTTATTGTCCAGATGATAGTTGATAGACAATGACTCAATATCTCTGGTCACCTGGCCAACAAAGGCGGATATGTTGGTGAATCGGGAATGATGTGGAAGTGTTTCTTGATTATTGTTAATGTAAAAGAAAAATCCCAGTTGTGTTTTCATCTTCTAAAGTCTTCTAGATTCCATTCCCCCCTTTATTCCATTAGAGTTTTAAATATTTTATAGTCTTTATGACTTACTTGAGATTAATCATAGATTATTCTCACTAATAGAGTCTCCTCTCTTTTGTCATGCATTACAGAAGGTTTTGCACAAAGAGGTGTAGGTCATTTATTGTCTTAAACCAATCCATATTTCTTTCTGGACAGAAAGTTAGACCTTTTTCCAAGAATTTTATTTCATGTTCAGACAATGATTGGGAAGACAAATTGATAACTTGTTTGCAGAAGTTCAGTTCTTTTTCAATATAAAATGAGCCATGCTCCCTTTTTAGTTTATTTGTTGGATTGAGAGAATTGGGAATGTGAAAGCAGATGGATCTATAGTTTAAAAGCAACCAAAGCTCCAGGTCTAAATGATGCAATTCAGTTTGCTTGTTTACTTTATTTTTTATAATATGCAATTTGTAACTATATTTTTGTATAATATTTTGGTATCATACAGTATATATTTTCTTGCGTTTGCGTTATGCTTGGGTACATTTTTTGTTAATAAGATAGCATTATATAAAGTAATGATACTGTGTATCTGATTGGCCATACCATATTGAAAACATATAAAGTGGAATTTACTGGAGCAGACTATACATGGCAACCTATCAGCTTCTAGCTTTCATTTTCAATGCTTAAAGGGCTTCTAAACCCCCCCGTTTTTTTGCCTGTATCTACTGCTATCAAGCAGTATCAAGCAGTAGATATAGGCAAGCAGTTTAAAAAAAAACAAAAAACCCAGCTAAAACAGCGGTTTAAACCTACCTTTTTTTCTTTGCGCGGTCCCGCCCGAGAAAACGAAACTGTTTGGGCGGCCGCTAAGCATCTTGGGGCGGGCGCATGCCCAGTTCGGATTCTCGGGGCGGGAGACGAGCAGAGACGCAAGGTAAGTGTATAGACGCGTGCACCTGCATGCAGACACCGCTGGATCAGAGAGACAGAGCAGTCAGCGCTGGATCGGAGAGCCGCCGCACCGCTGGAGGGACAGATGAAAACATCAGGAAAGAAGAAGAAGATCGGAATAAGAGACATCATTTAAGGTAAGTGCTAACATTAACATGGGGGGAGGGAACATTTTTTTTTACTTTAATGTCACTTTAACTGAACAAGCTGAAGATAGAAGCTGATTAGTTACTATGCATAGCTGTTCCAGATTCTGTCTGCTCCAGTTTGAGTAAATTCCCCTCATAGTATTTTAAACATTGTATATATGAATGTGTGTGTGTATATATATACAGTGGGGCAAAAAAGTATTTAGTCAGCCACCAATTGTGCAAGTTCTCCCACTTAAAAAGATGAGAGAGGCCAATAAAAAACAGATTGAGGACACAATCTCTTTTTATGCAGCCCCTGTTATGAATGAACAGGAAGCCTCTATACTGAGTGTTTCTGTTTATTCATAACTTGTGGAGATAGTGTGTTTTCTATATCCACAATCATGAATGAACAATCTATTTTGACAGCTGTCTCTGCCCCCACACCGCTCTCCATTCTGATCTGTCACAGCTCGGCCTCCTGTGACAACAGGAATGATACCGCTCTCCTTTCCGCCCTGCTCGGCTGCCTGAATGTTTCTCTCCGCTGGACGCTGTGCTGTGTCAGAGGGGACACAGAGCAACGCCCATCGGGGAGGAGAGAAACTATGGATGCACCGCAATTTCAGCCGAAAGATGGTATCTTTAGCATTTTGCCCAAAGTGCCATTTTCGGCCGATATGTTTAGACAGCCGAAATTTCGGTGCATCCCTACTTCTTTTTACAGAAGAAAGCCTCTTGCTCACTCTAGTAGCTACAGACTGGCACTGCATGATGTTATTAGATCAGATCTGAAACCTTCTATCCTTTACAGCCAAGGAGGGTGCCATCTTAGTCTCTGTTTAGATCTGCAGTTGCCATGGTGCTGCACATGTGATCAGATCTGATACCAGCCATCTGAGGGCTTGAAAGTTTGGTTGAGAACTAACAACCCTAGGAACTGGGATCTGTTATCACCAGAGGCATGTCTGTAAAGTAACTGTTTTAGGAAAGTGTTTATTGGTGTGTTTAGTTCCGATTTAAGTCTGTGATCTACCAGAACACCTCTATCTTTTTTCAACATTGATTGTCTAAATTTTACACCTCCTAGAGTGCATGGTGCATTTACATTAATTAGCATTAAATCTAATTTGCTACATAGCCACCCAATCAAACAGCGCATTCAGATCAACTTGTTGGAGTTAGGGACATTTTGTATGGGCTATATTCCACTACAGAGCATTGTATCCTGTGCAAACACATAAAATTGAATTTTGTGTGACCATAGGTTTTTGAAGCCTCAATGCCAGACAGGCTTTAGGAACATCAGTATGTGTGTAAATAAGTTTTACACACTTTTTTTCAGAACAAATAAAAAATTTTAGTACACTGTTTAAATTAATATGATGCTCGTGTTTTTATTATATGCTAACAAATGAAAATTGAAAATAAAAAAATGTATTTATAGTTATTTTACACTCATTTTTGATCAAATTATTTCAATTGTAATTAATAATTGTACAAACTGTCATCCACAGCTGTCACCATGCCTCTCTTTGTGCGAGTCACAGTGACAGCCACACCTGACAGGTTTGTTTCTTAACAAACCTAATTTGGTCACCATAAATGGCAGTCATGGGGATTCCTTAATTAGGAACCACGCAGGCTAACAATATTGCCCATTCAAGTTGGCAATGTAGTGCCCCATCATACATTCCTTCTATATTATCTTATTACAGTCTTTTCTGTAAAGTGCTGCAGAAATCCAGAACTTTTTCCAAAATAATATTAGTGCAAAGCATATTTCTTTCTTTTAGGTTGCAAAATATTTTGTATATTTATGTTATATTTTGTAATAGGTGAGAACTTATAAGACTGTATAAAATTAATTTACAAAAAGCGTATGTTCTGTGATTAGTTACTGTTATTCTCTTTCTTTACAGGGGAGGTCACACCAGGATTAACACAAACAGAATATGCCTTACGTCGTCACAAACTGATGGCTCTTATCCAAAAAGAATCTGAAATCCTCTGTGCATCGACAGATCATGCCGTTATCATCTTTGCAAACTCAACACTGTACATGACAAGTGACATTCCCTTTCCTTTTCATCAGCACAATGATTTCCTCTACTTGTGTGGGTTTCTAGAGCCTGAAAGTATCCTACTTTTACAGACTAAACCAGGGCATGTACTACCATCTCATACAGCCACACTATTTGTGCCACGCAGAGACCCCGGCCGGGAATTATGGGATGGGCCTCGATCTGGAGTAGATGGAACAGTTGCACTTACTGGTGTAGACCAGGCTTTCCCAATAGAAGACTTTAAACATGTAGTACCCAAGCTGCTTGGTATGTTGATCCTACATTTAAAAGGAAATTTACAGTGTGCAAACAAAGAATTGATTTTGATGTTTCTCTGCTGTAATTAAGCCATCTCTAGGTTAAGGTGGTCATATTTTTCAATATCTAAATTTGCCTTGAACTATGTAATAAGTCAGTTGTTGCAGGACTAAATGCAGACCTAATGAAAATAAAATGAACTCGGAAATATGCTTAAACAATGGTAGATATTAACCCCTTAGTGACGGGGAACGTACACTGTACGTCCCCGCCACTAAGTACCCAAATGACTGCTCACGTACACTGCAAATAGTATGAATACCTGAGTTTGAAATTATTTCAGCTTGTATCTGAAATCAAATGCACAGCAGCACTCAGAAGAGTGGGAGGAGGATAGCCGCACCAGAGACCAAATAGGTGTGCTACAAGCATATCAGCTGACAAGGAGCCTGCTGATGAGAGAACAGAGGGATGGCCTCATCAGAGGCTTTCTGTTTTCTTTTTTTACTGTCCAGTTACAGGCTGAGTAAAGAGAGGTAACCTTGCTCTGTTGCCTTACTGTAGCAGAGAAACGTAGGTCACTAGGCTGGCTGTAGTATCTTGGAGAGCTGAAAAGTGCACTACTTCCCAATAAATTATATTCACAATACACTATGTATCATATATATCTACCCAAAATATGCACTTCTATTACACTTGTGATAATGCTATATATAAAGTGCAATGCGCAATATACAATCAATAGTGTAAACACTATTGTATATAATACTTTATATATAGCATAGTGTTATAAATAGTGTTAACACAGTATGATACATGGTATATTGTGAATATCATGTACTGGGAAGTATTGCACATTGTACTTTGGATGGTTATAAGAGGTAGAAGTGGTGGTATTTATTATTAGCACCACACTGTATTTTTCTGTAAACTTGGGCAGGTTACATAGTTACATAGTTACATAGTTACATAGTATTTGAGGTTGAATAAAGACATTAGTCCATCAAGTCCAACCTATTAGGATCTCATTCTAGGAGTACCTGTACCCCTGTATATTACGGTCCCTTAAGAAATCGTCCAAAAGTTTCTTGAACAATTCCACATTATTTGCTGAAATCACCGCCTGTGGCAGTGAGTTCCAGACCCTAACTGATCTTACTGTGAAGAACCCCCTTCGCCCCTTGTGCTGGAATTTTTTTTCCACCAATTTTAGGTGATGGCCTCTAGTTTTTGTAACGGAGTTAATTTTAAACAGTTTATCGCTAATGTTGCTACCACCATTAAACATTTTGTAAATTATTTAGGTATTTATTGAAGGCCGATACAAACCCCTTTTATCTGGGTTCTAGGTACACTGACAGACCATATAAAAACACTTTTGACAGCTGGAAAAGTAAAACATTGTCTGTCTAATCCCTCTACATGCACATTATTAAAAACACCAACAGCGACACCTCTTCCCACAAGAATATAAATACCAATTATGTCTACAAAACAGCAATTGTAAATAACATGCCAAGAAGCAAAACAATTATTTTTTTGCGGGGATGTTAAACCCTTGCATGCTATAACTGCAGTATGTATAACAGCAGATAGTCCAATCTTTTCGCTACCTTACCACAAAGCTTATTAGTGTAACTTAAACATGTACAGCAAAACCAAGTACTGTTTTTTGTTTTTTTCCACAGGGAAAATCTGTATTTTTAGATAATGCTGATCTTTTTCCTGGAGGGACCTTGACTCTGAGTTACAGAGTAAGCTGGGGCCAGTTTCCACTGCTCCCTTCCCTAGCAGATTGCTGCTCCCTCAGTGTCCTTCAGGGACACTTGTAGATTTGACAGACCTGAACTTTATGTCAGCGCTAGTGCTTTTTTTTGGCACCCCCATTGTGGGACGCTTTGGTGACCTTCCTTTAGGAAGATCAGTTTTCTGGACTCTAATAACCAGAATTCTCTTTGAAGGGCCCAACTCCTGCAAATTTCCATCAGTTGGAGCCCCTGCATATGTCTAGTGTTGGTAACTATCAGTCACCAAGTGAGGCTGACCAGCTTAAATTCTCGCAGTAGTATCCTGCACTAGTGGGGTACTTGGGACTTACTCTCTTTACATTGCCTCTCCTACTGTTGTTTACCTTCGGTCTTCCTTAGTCTCCCCCTTGGAGTCTGGACTTGGTGCAAAGACATACAGGCAGGCAGCCCTATGGATCTAATTGTGCCTGATTAGAACCCTTAGTCTGTTAGGGCCTGGGGGTGGTTACTTTCCCCCTTCATGGGAGGACTACTGTCTCACAGCTGTCCTCGTGTCAGCAAATCAAGTTCAGTTTCCTGCTTCTTTGGGGTTTGCCACTGTGAGTAGGTCCCTTGACCTGGACTATGTGGGACATCACTTTGGTGCTGTAAAACCATTAGGCCTAGGGTCCGAAGTTTAAAGCTGGCTATACACTGGCTTTATTCCCCCATCCATGCTAATGTTCTTTTGGGGATCTGTTTTGATGCTCCTTCACTTGTTGATTGCCTTGGTTCACAGCAGGTGCTGGTGCAGGCTCAGTGTCCTCAGATGTGGCATTGCTGTATGACCTTCCCTGTGACGTTGGAAGTTCCCCTGTCCTGTAACGAACTTTACTTCTTTTGGTTAAAATTCAGACATTGGTCTTTCTGGTTGTTGCTGACGCCTCCTGGTTCAATCTTCCGTCGGTGGTTATTGCCCATCCCTCAGTCACACTGCTTTTGTACATCCTAACTGTCTCACAATTCCTGAATTATTTTATTCCTCAGAGGATAAATAAAATAAGATTTTTGCACTTACCATAACATATTTTTCCATAACATCTTATGTCCATTGAGGGACACAGGTCCTGTCCATCTGTGTGTTTTTGTTTTTTTTTGGCCCTAGAGGCTGTAGGTGGGGTATTAAGGGCTTGGCCTTCAACTTTTTTTTCTGTTTGCCAGTGTGCAAAACTTCTTTAGGTGGCAGCAATTCATTTGACTGTTTTACTATTCCTGTGTCCCTCAATGGGCTTAAAGAAAAAGATTTTACGGTAAGTCTAAAAATTGAATATTTTCTTAAAGACAGATGAAGGCTTTGTCAGGAGAATAATTTTGATTCCTTTGAGAGGTAATAGTTGCATGTAAGTGTTACATTTGTCCATTAGTATTATAGTATGCATTTACTAAACTAGAAAAAAAAAAAGATCTAATGATAGGTCTGCTCTATGGCTCCTTAACACCTTTCTGTTCTAGCTCACTGTGTTAATGCGCACACATTACTGCACGTTATGTTAAGGCAGCCCATTTATCTGAATGGGCTGTTAAGGCACTTTTTTGTTCAATACAGTGCACCACAAACTGCAACGCACTGTAGTGCATTACCATTTGTGCCAGTACACTGCAACACAAGTACATTTATCTTAGTTCATTGGGGTGCCATTGGAAGTGAATGGCACCACATTGTACTAACACGTGCATAGTATCCTGTCATGTGTTGCAGTAACTAGGTATGAGGGGCCCTAAGATATTATGAATGCTCCTTTCTAAATGTTCTCTTTTTTTTCAGATGAAGGACTGACGCTATGGTATGACTTTGTTAGACCATCTAATTCATCCTCACATTCTAGCCTTCTGCAACAAATAATAGCATCCAAGGCAAAGTGCAGGAATAAGATTAAGTCCCCACAACATCTCATCCAACAACTGCGATTAGTTAAGTCTCAAGGTGAACTGGAACTTATGAAGAAATCAGGCCATATCACATCACATGTAAGAAACTCTAATCACTCTTGTAATACTTACCTTATCTGTAACCTTTTTGGAATTCAGATAATACAATATTTCTTTTAGTTCTGGTAGCTTTATGGCAGCTAAAAATCTGTGTTAAAGAAGAACTCCGGACATACATATTCTTAACCCTTACCGTGTGGGGGTAGCTCGTTTTCGTCCAGGGACAAAAATAGTAGTTATATTCACCTGAACCTCACAGCCAGCTGGCCTTTAGACCAGTCCCTCCAGTCTGTCTCTTCCCCCACTCCAGGTATGGAATGTCCATCTGCGTCCTCATGTGCTGTATAGGACATGATGAATCACAGGACAATAGACTGCCAGAGCAAAGGGGAAGCAAGTCTTAATGAGCATTAAGCTAAGATGGAAAAAAACATGATTACAGCAATGTTGTTGTTGTTGTTGTTGTGCAAAAAAGGTTGACTCTTTTTTCCAAAGGATAAAAAATAATCACTGAAATCAAATGTAATTTGGCCAGGGATGTTCAAACATTTGCCCTCTACTGAATGATTAAATTATAGTTTATTATTGAAAATGTTTTTCTCTATATGTTTTAACTCACTTTGGTCTAACTTTCATCTTTTTACTGCTTATGCATAATGTAATATAGTTGACGCTGAAACTTTAATCAAAATAGATCAGTTGAATTATTCATTAAAATTGTTACTAGGGATGCACCAATATATCGGCCGCCAGAAGATATAGGCCGAAAATGGCACTTTTGGCAAAATGCGGAAAGTACAATTTTTTGGCCGAAATAGCGGTGCATCTGTGATTTCTTTCCTCCCCGCTGGGCGCTGCTCTGTGTTCCAACGGGGAGGAGAGAAACTGTCACAGGAGGCCTAGCTTTGCGGGAGGAGAGCGTTGTGTGTGGCCGGTGTCTCTCCTCCCCCGCACCGCTCAGCCTTCTGTCACAGATCAGGAGAGTGGCGATGTAGGCGGAGACAGCCATTGCTGTCACAGGAGCCTGAGCTCTCCTCCTGCACCAGCCCGCCCAGCCTCCTGTGACAGCGTGTCAGGATGGAGAGCGGGTACAAATACTCAGTGATCGGTGAGTATTTGTAAATAATTGAGGGCATAGTATGTTTACTGTGTCCTCAATTATGAATGAATGGGAAGTGATCTACATCACTTCCCGCCCATTTATGATTGTGGATATAGTAAAAATTTTTTTTTCGGTTTTGACCTGACATTTTTTTTTCCATTTCGGTTTGGTTTCTGACATTTTTATTTCAGTGCACCTCTAATTGTAACATATATAGATTGGTTCATTTTCAAACATGCACCTGCATTTTGACAACCTGTATCTCTCCGTAATTACTAATGCCCTATCCACAGCCAGTACTATAGATCAGCTAATTTGCATTTGCTAAAAGCTTTGTAACCAAGATGTAGTAGGTTCATCTTCCAAAATAAAGGTGATTACAATGTAGCTAAACATAGTTTGTATAGTGCTCTGTAGCAGTGGTTACAAAACCTTCCACACCCCAACAGTAAAAAAAAAAAAAAGTTAATACTTAAAGTGACATTAAAGTCACAATTCCCCCCAATGCTGCTTTGAGGACTTACCTTGAATGATGCCTCTTGATCCGATCATCTTCTTCTTTCCAGTAGTTTTCAGGAGTCCCTCTAGCGCTGCCTGCTGAGTCTTCTGTGTCCCACGGTATCTGTCCCTGTGCACAGTGTATTGACTTACACTGTGTTTTTACCTATTTGGTACCGTAACTTGTTAATATTTTTCTATGTTTTTGCATATACCTATTGCTTGCTAGCAGTAGATATATGCAAAAAACAAACAAACAACTGAGTGTTTAATTTCTCTTTAAGTACAGGAATGTAAAAATATTAATTTCAATATGCATTTAGTTTGCATTGGGACCCACATTGATGGTTTCAGAGAAGAGGGGGTTTTCTATATTGAGTGTGCTTGATGAACTGTCACTGCTGCCAAACTCCAGGTAAGAGAGGTCTGGTTTTGCACTGATTGACATATAAACAAAAAGTAGAAAGCAGGGTTACAGCTGACATCACAGCTCAACATCTGGATGCATACAACATCCTGCCGTTTTATTGTAGTTCCTGCGCAAAGCAGTCTGCATTGTGGTGACACGGCTGAGCATATTCAAGCGGCATAAAAATTATGTGTGACTGGAATCAGGGCTGTTTATTTTGCAGGATGCATCAAAGGTAAGTCTAACAACTTGTGGAGCATTATATGCTAAACTACTATGCTAGAGAACATTGAAATAAAGTGCTTCATGAAATATGTTTTTTAATTGTTGACCATAGATACACTTTAAATAATTTATCTGTGTCTTTCCTAGGCTTTCATAGAAACCATGTATTGCAGCAAGGCTCCTATTCAAGAAGCTTTCATATATGCCAAGGTGAGAATTAAAATGTCCTCAGGACTTAAATATACTGACTGAAAGATCATTGTTTACACTTTGTAACAGCACTTGTTTTATGTACAAAAAAAAAGTATTTTGTAAATAATATAAAGAGAAGAATATGGATTACTTGAATGTACTTGTAAAGCTATGTAAAATGTGATTACTTTTTTTAAATGGAATCTCATATCTAGCGTATAGTGAGACACAATAAAGCAGACCTTGCAGCTAAAATGCAAGATCTACTTTTTAAATGTAGCCCCCTCTCCCCTGTTAAAATGCTGATGAAAAGTAAAAAAAACACTTGTAGGTGAAAAATGTTAGATCATTTATTAATTTTTCCTCCAGCTTCTGCCTACACTGTCTATGCAAGGGTGACATCCTCCTCCTGTTATGATTGGGAAATGTAGAGTAGCTCATATTTGGGTGAGAAGATGCTCCTAGCTCTGTCCTGCACAGTCTTCACTTGAGACGTCGACTCGCCATTCCCTGGGATCTTGTCTGCTTGATGATGATGTCACCCCCTGCACTACTGAAGCTGGAGGAAAGGTAAGTATAATACCTAACTTTTTCCCCCATTCAAGTGTCTTTTTTACACTTTTAGTCTGCGTTTCAGCATAAGGAACAGGACACCTTCTCTTAAAAACTGCTGTTAGATAACAAGGAAAATTCATTTATACAGTGCGAGATCCTCATATTACAGAAGATGTGCCAAATCTGAATGTAACTGTTGTTAAATGTGAAAGAGTTTACAGATCAAAACAGCACATTCATAAAATGTCAATATAATGTCAATATTAAACATATTTTTATTCTCAATTAGTTTGACTTTGAGTGCCGAGCCCGGGGAGCTGATATTCTTGCTTACCTGCCTGTTGTTGCTGGAGGAGACAGAGCCAACACTCTGCATTATGTGAAAAACAACCAGATAATCAAGGTTGGTGAAGTGTAGATAAGATATTATTTATTGATTTTGCCATTGCTGATCTGCTGCTGGGAACCACAAAGGAAATGAGAAGAGGCTTGCCAGTGGGGACACAGACAGCAATACAAAACTGACAGAGGTTCTAAACCCTCCTCACGTAACACAGTATTGATATCTTTATGCCCGTAAAGATAATTCCCCTTTAGTACCTGTCCTAGTGACCACTTAGGAAGTAAAGTGCATTCACACATAGAGATTAAAACCTGTCTGATGTTCTATCCCTTCCCAACTCTATCCAGAGTACTAAGTATAAAGTTAAAATGGTTTCTCAAGAACTTGATGCACATGAAGAGATAAACAGTAACAGTAGTAGAAAAATGCATAAAAAGGAAGAAGTAGGAAAGTGGGGCTTTTAAGGCACCAAATCGACGAGTCATAAAAAAATGTCAAAGGTTGGCTAAAAACTTTATTTTATTAATTAATAATTAATGGAAAAAATAAATGGCTATGATAAAAACTGGAGAGACAAACATTGAAACCCCCAATATTCACTCTATCCACTTAGTTCCAAATTTGGAGTATATATGGCATAACTAAATTGATATATAGCATGATATATATATATGACATATATGGCATTGGATTGATACATCAATTGAAATACATGATGGAATTGGATAACGTCAGTAGTTCGTAAAATCATAGCTGGAACCCGAAGGGTGGATGATAGTGAATATTCAACGCGTTTCGCTCATATCTCGCGCGTCATCAGGAAAGGGGGTAATCAACCCCAAGCAGAGCCAGTGGATGCACGCTTGACATAGTAGCCAAAAACGAGGAAATGGATGCCCCCAGACAGTGGGAAAAGAAGCCAAGGCAGCAGTGACTGGGTATAGAGGATTCATTTGGTAGATCAAAATATTGAGAGGAGAGCGAATGCCTCAAATCCGCAAATCCATCTGACTTCCAAATAGTTTGATCCAAAGCAGGAGGGAAACTAACGTTTTTAGCCAACGTTTGACATTTTTTTGTGACTCGTCGATTTGGTGCCTTAAAAGCCCCACTTTCCTCCTTTTTTGACTAAAATAGGGGTGTGGCACCTAATACCCAGGATCTGACCACCACTTGTCTCTTTTTGCAATAGTAAAATGCATAAAACATTTTTAAAAACTTAAAAAAAAAAACAAACAAACTCAATAAAACTAACTATTATAGTTTCCCTTTCAACATCTGCTCAAGTAAATCATCCAATTTAGCTTGGAGGTTAAAGTTGATTACATTTATTGTTCTTTTGTCATTGCTGCAGCAAAATGGGTGGACTGATATTCTTACAGTAATCCGCGACAGTTCTATTTTCTGCAACTGTAGCTCCATTAATCAAAATGAAATAGATGGACGGAGTGGCAGAACAATTAATTGGTAAAGCTGGAAGATGTAGCTAATCTTTTAATCTTTAATAAAGGTTGGTATCCAACTTGTTTTGGGGGTTCTCAATAGATAAGCATTGTTTGTGGCAGATTCTGACACCATGGGGGTGATTTACTAACCTAAACACACGCACGCACCAGGTGCGTGTGATTTTCACACAGCAAAACTTATTTATCAACCAAAAAGTCTCTAAAAGCATATTTCCACTAATGCCATATATGCAAAAATCATGCACATGATGCATATGTAATGCTGCTTCACAGTTTAGACAAAAATGGTTAGCTCATGCATTTACATTCCTGCATTCATCAACGCAAGCAACACAACATAGAGCTAATTTACACAACATCACATTGCAATTCATGCTTGGCTTTGCACAACACACCTGCTGGGTGTGTACACACTACAAAGGTGTTTAGATTCCACCCATAGATCATGCTGGGAGGGAACACACTACAGAGGTGTATACATGTTCATGGTGTGTTTATAAGGTTAGTAAATCAACCCCCATGCATCACTAGTTTGGAGAAGCAGAAGTCCAGTGTATCGCTTGTGTTTATCTGTGCTTCTCCATTTGAGGCCCTTAAGAGAGGGATAGCTAAGGTCCTAAAGAAAGGGGGATTTTAAATCATATTGGCTACCAAACTTTAATAGATTTGAAAAGGATTATTTACATCTAAGTGCCTTACCGATTCATTGTTTTAGAAAAGAACTTCATCCCTTTTATTTACACTTCAAGTTTTACCCAAGGTTCCGTAGTGGGCATAGGGGGCCTGGATTTTAGCAGCAGCATTCCTGCTATATTGTCTTTCTGAGACTCATCATCTGTTGGCTAGTTCATCGAGAATTTAAACAACATTAAGATCCAGTGCCACTCTTGACCTAACTCTATATATACCCTTAACTTGATTTCCAGATGTCCCAGATGACCCCTCCTTTTTGCCCCATAAGTCCCTCCAGACATTCAACTACAGAAAATGCTTTTTGTTGGTATGCCCAATGCTCCTGTATTGTTATTGTTGATGATTCTGAGGATGGGACTGGTTCCACCTTTCACTAAAAGTAGGGAATCCTGAGTGCCCCTATACATGTGCCTTCTATTCCTGCAAATTAAATTTAGTAATAGTGTATAACAGGGCTAAAAATTTCAAGTCCTGAGCTACTAGCCAGGCCTTAAGAGTCACTAGCCACCAGTTGCCCCACCTAACCCTTACCCTGCCCCGGCCTTAACTCCGCCCCTAAACACACCCTCTTAAATAATCTTATGATAATTCTTATCTTATGATAGTTTCCGCTTGTAAACGGCAGATTAGGGAATTGCACTGCGGTCTGCATCCGACACAGATGCAGAGCGTGGAGCTTCGCCCGCAAGTCGGGTACGCGGTCTGCGGCTTGGCACTGCAAGCTACCATTCAGTTTGTGGTCTACAATGACCCCCAAATCTTTTTCTATTTCTGACTTCCCTAGCGGCATACCCATGATTGTATAGCCTATTTGTTTATTTTTATGTCCAAAGTGCATTACTTTGCATTTATCGAAGTGTATAATAACAAGACAGAAAAACTGGTGATACATGAAAGTATTACAATGCATTCCAGCTCTGTTAATACATAATAAATAGAACATATGCACAAAGTTTTGAAATAAAATAAAATATGCAGAGAGCTCACAAAAGTGGTAAAAACAGTGGTTTTTATAAAGAAAAATAACAACTAGAGAAAGCACAGGGCAACACAGCAAGGGAACATTAAGTAGATAAGGCCAGTAACTGCAGAATATGGGAAGTGTCACTACTGAGTGTCTTAAAAGAGCCACATACATTTACATGGCAGAATGCCACTTCCTCAGAAACTGGGGATCCATAGGGCATGCCATCCTCCCTCTATATGTAGTACCCATGCAGTGAGGTCTGTGGTTGATGCAGCACTGCAGTCAAAAGCGTCAGTAATCACTTTTAGCCTGAGAAGAAAAAAAATATTTGTGTGGTACCGAAATACAAATATGTTATCCCAGCTTTCATTAGGTTTTTCAAATGAAAGCTGGCTAAACAAACTCTCTGATGCGTGTCTATGTCTCTAATTTAGAAAATTAGCATACACTTTTTGCCATTGCCAATATATTTTAAAGTGTATTTCCACTTTTGCAGCCAAGTTAATGTTCCATTCACATAACATATGCTAAAAAAAAAAATGCTTCTTGCAATTTAAACTGCTTTTACCTGGGTTAGGGTTTTAAGGGTTAGCATTTCTACATGCTTATCTTTCTTTGCAATGTTAGGAGAGGCTGTGAGGGGTCTAAGTGTGCTGAGAAAAAAATGAAATCGGCACCTTGTCTGCTTTAACAAAACAGGGTAAGAAATAATTTTTAACATTTTTTTTTATTTATGCTGTGTGAATAGGATCACATAACAAACATATAGAGGGGGTTTTCTCGAATTTGACTGCAAATTTGGAAATCTACTTTAAGTTAACCATAACACACATTCTGAAAGTAGCAATAGTAAACAAAGGTAAAATAAACACGAACAAAATAAAAACAAAGGTGGTAGAAGTAGTTACATAGTATTTGGGGTTGAATAAAGACATACGTCCATCAAGTCCAACCCATATAGGTCCACGCAAAGTCCTTTAGGCCTCATTCACACTGCTTACAGTCGGCTCGTACAGATCCGTACGACGTGCGCGGCCGTATCGGGCCGTTCCCGTGAAGGACAGGTGCTGCGTGTGATTGTACGCAGCAGCCTGTTCTTCTCTATGGGAGGACGCGGCCGTATGCTCACCCGAGCTGCACATCCGTGCCGGGTGTCCATGCTCTGACACAGACAGGATGGATCCTGTCTGCGTCCGAGCACGGACACCCGCATGGATGTGCAGTTCGGGTGAGCATAGGGCCGCGTATGGCCACGTTCTCCCATAGGGAAGAACAGGCTGCTCTGTACAATCACACGCACTACATCTCTTTCCCGGGAATGGCCCAATACAGCAGTGCATGCCGCACAGATCTGTACGGACTGACTCTAAGAAGTGTGAATGAGGCCTTAGACTAAATAACCATGTACTGAAACTATACTGTACCTTGCAGCCAGTGTTTGAGAAACCGAAAAGGTAGCAGAAAGACGAAACCTCAAAGAATAGCACTAAACTTTTTTTTTAAATGACTGAATGAGATACCAGTGTTAAAGTTATTATCACAATTTGTTTCACTTGTGGCATTGATCATTTAGGTTACCAGAATAGGTTGTGTTAGTAGTTTAACACCTGAGTTGCCAGAATTTATTGTTTTTTTCATTATTACCATATTTTATGAGATTTTGTCACAATTTATCACATGAGAAACTATTCTGCTACTATTGAATCGATTCATTTCCTTATTATTGAATCAGTTCATTTCAGTAGGTTGTATTAGTCAACACCTGAGCTGTTAGAATTTATTGCCGTTTTCACTTTGTTATCACAATCTATGATATTGTGTCACACTTTTGTTACTATTGAATCAATTCAATTTCTTTTTATTGCATCAATTCATTTCACTGTGAATGCTGGGGTTTTCACCTATATAATTATTTATGGTTCATTTCTTTGATC